AACTTCCTACTTTCAGAGTGTAAAATGGTGCATTTGAATGTCTGTTTGTTGGAACTACGCAGTTTGATTTAGTAAACAAATATGCCTATCACATGAAGGAATGTTCCATATACAACTCCATGGATTTCTTAGAGCAATAAAAATACTGTGCAATGCAACTCAGATTCGAAACATACTCTTTGAATTATACTTGTTGCTCCCATCCCCTGTCAGCACCTCCTTCTCCTCCCTCGGGAAATCTGAACCATTAAGGGCCTTATCATCAACATAGCCACCAACTAAGCGGATGATTTATCATATAACAGTCTTGAAAGGGAACATTGTAACAGAAAACTCACTTTCTAAAGATTAAACCAGACACTCATTCATGGTAACCACCATGACGAGCTTAATAGTATTACAAAAAGAATTGCCAGTTTTGCACTTCTTGTTCCATTTTAGCTCTTGAGAAACCCATGACACTGAATTCCTCTTCAATAATAATTTTCCAACTTCCTTTCTTTCATGAAGATAATCTATCATCTTTTGAAAGGATAATGTATCAAGTTAACTCTTGGATCCACTCACAACCAGAAGGTGTAGCAATCTAGAGCAGAATAATACTCAGTTAAATCAGCTTTTCTAAAAAAGCCCTATAACAGAACAATTATACACGGTCTTGGGAACATTCATGGTGATTTCGGAGCAGGTGGCGGAGTTGGAGAGAGGGACTTACCTGGACCCGGACGACCTCGTGAGAGAGGGTGGAGAGGCTCATGGCGGCGACGGCGAGGGCATCCGGAGGAGGGAGGGGCCCGGCGTCGTCGGCTAGCATGCCAACCTCGAACGCCTTCTCGAGCACTTCGGCGAACGGATTCGGAGAAGGTGCAGGGTAGAGCAGGAGCGAGCGAGTGCCACACCTCTGCGTCCACCTCCGGCGGCGCCTATTGCTGGCGCGAGCATGCCGAGCTCGAGGGCCTCCTCGGCCACTTCCGTGAGCGATTCGACATGAAGGGGAGGAAGAGCAGCGGCTGCGAAGGGGAGCCGCAGCCTGACCAGGAAGCACCGACGGTGGTGACGAAGGTGAGTAGCGGCCAGAGCAGGGAGCGCCGGCGCCGACTGTGGAGTGAGGGTGTGGCCACCATGGGAGAATGGGGAACGGGGCGAGAAATGTGAGGGACTGAGGGAGCGCTTGGGAGGATAAGTAATGTTTTTTTTCAATAAAATTGGAGCATGTTTGGTTCTAATAAGTCACCTAACTTATAAGTCAGGCGATTTAAAATCAGTGATTTATAAGTCATACCTGTTTGGTTGTCACCTGACTTATAAGGGCATGAACACTGGAAGCATTAGTATACGGTGGTCTCATGCCCTTCATGTAGGCTTGTATGTACGAAGCCATCGCTTTCTATAATATCATCCAACGGAAGCAGCAGCAGCATGTGGGTCCCATGTTGCTCCCTCTCTATTACTTTACCCATCCTTTTCTTCCTCAGCTCTTCACACACGCATCACCCAGGAGACAAACGATGGGCTGCTACTAAGCCAGACCTTTTTTCCTTTTTCTCTAGCTTTTCCCCTTAAGAACCCGCCTCTTCTGTAGGCAGCACTAGTACACTCCGAGGCAACCCTTCCTGACATCCGAACCTAGCTGGCCTGCGGAGCACCCAGTTGAGGCGACGCATTGGTCATGCCCTAAGTCACCTTAGCACATCTTTCCATCTTTTTTTAATGTAAAGATGACGGGACCCATGCAAAAGGAGGTGACTTATAAGTTTTAAGTTAGGGTGGAGCAACTTATGACTTATAAGTTGGGGTGACTTATAAGTTAGGTCTGTTTGACAAAATAAGTCACTTTTTGCACTTTTCGACTTATAAGTTGGTGACTTATTTGGAACCAAACAGGGCCTTAGGCAGTGACCAAAGAGAGATTATGACTGTGCGGCTTGTCCAAATACAAAAAAATTCTTCTAAAAAAGACCCATTCTTTTTATCCGATTCGCCTGCATGCCTGCCATCTTTTTTATCTTCTAAAAATCATCAGGGCTGGTTACGGTCATTTTTGTTTGATGATTTTAAAATTTATTATATGAATCTCTATAAAAGTTGTTACTCTTTTTATAAAAGTTCTGTAATCATACAAGTTATCTTGTGGTCTATGGATGTTAAATTTTATGAAGTACTTCACATGAGATATTTTTCCTGACACTCCTACACAGGTATTTTTCGCCGCGTATCATTATACTTGTCCTATGTTGTACCACTATTTTCAAAACTAACTCTGGTTACTACTTTATTGGCTCATACGACAGATTGTAGAACAAAGCTAGCTGTCATTTTAGTGGACTTGAATTATGATAATTTAAGAAATTGAGACTTGAAAAATGATGCAAACAACACAGATCCCACAAATTGTATGTTACATGTGTGATCATATTGTTTGGTATATGACGCATTTAAATGCTTCGGTAAAAGTAACTTGCTAAAAGAGAAACTATATTCAAAATAAATATTTTTATAAGAGTTATATTATGATACGTGCGTTGCACGTGCACGTTTACTAGTCTCTAATAAATTACAGATTCCTCTTGGCAGAGTGTCTGTCTGGGACAGAGATAAGGTGACATGCACGTTTGCATGTCACCGTGTGCCTTGCGGCCGAAATTCAAATTTAAACATTGTGAAAAAATCTGGAAAAAAAAAGCATGCATCTTCACAGTACATATTAAGATAACCCTTAAAAAATTCAGATCAAAGTTTAAAACATACATCAAGAAACAAAAAAGAGAAATCTGTCATGAATAGTTTGCGAATAGTTCTCTGTAGACTATTCACATCCGAGTTTCTCTTTTTCGTTTCTCGATGTATGTTTTGAATTTTGATCTGAATTTTTTAGAGGTTATCTTAATATGTGCTGTGAAGATGTATGTTTTTTTCAGATTTTTTTCGTAATGTTTAAATTTGAATTTCGGCCGCAAGGCACACGGTGACATGCAGACGTGCATGTCACCTGATCTCTGTCCGTCTGTCTGTCCACAAGTGGCACGATCGATTTGGGGCTTGACTAGCTATTACTAGATCAACGAAGGTGTAAATTAACAGAAGACCTTTTACGGTGCATCAGATAAATATCTTTTTTTTTTGAGACAAATCAGATAAATATCTGTCAACATTCTTGTCGAACTTGTAGGGAGCGGCCCATAATCGGAGAAGATGAGCAAGTTGGCCACGGAGGTGGTGATGATCTGCTCGTATGCAGCCTTTCGTAAGTTGGCGCAGCCGCCGCGCTAGTTCACTCCGTCCATA